GGGGGGGCTAAAAGTGCCCGCGGCAACTTTGATGTCACCTAGCGTCTGAACGGCTAGCCGTAGAACGGCCAAACTTGGTGACTTTTCCTAGAATTTTGTTGGCAACAATTCTCCATCATTGGAATAAGATAATAATTTTTTGCTAAATTTAGTACTTTTTGTTTCAACAATAGAATTTTATGGGTTTTATGTCAAGTTACTCATGGTTTCTAATATTAATAATATGCCATATAATTTTATGTAAATTTTATCATTAAATATGCATAATTTATGCTAATTTGATGACATCATTGGCCAAAATCCAAGATGGCGGACCATATCATTAGAACAGGTATATACAGGTTATTTTCATTAAAATTTCATCAATACTTCCATTTCTTTCTCCAAAAAAGGTTTAAATGAAGGTCTTTAGTATCTTTACAATCTATTTTAGGCTTTATCATGAAAAAAAAATACTTTTGAAAATTCAAGATTGATGATCCAAGATGGCGGATTTCTTAAATATGCATGACGTCATTTTATGACGTCACCGGTGTTGCTATGGGCAACATAAGACTTAGTACACCATAATATTCTGTCATAAACACTTTTGGTACAGTTATGTTGAATACCATTTAGTTTTCAGGGAAAAACCTTTTTAGACGGTTTTGGCCAATAAAATCACATTAAAGACGTCATAATGACGTCATATTACGTCATAACGACATAAAAATTGTAGTTATGATAAATTTTTACTAGTACACCATTCTCTGGAAATTTGGTGGTCATACGACATACCGTTCGCGAGTTCTTAGGGGGGGGTCAAAAGAGCCCCCTCCGGTCCCCCCATGTCAAAAAAAGCCCGGTCTAGGTAGGGTTAATTCATTGTGTGGTCATAGAGAGATGCCATGTGTTGAGGTCAAAAGGTCAAACATCAGGCAATCTCCTGCTTAAGGTCTCGGACCGGAGTTTTTTTCACGATTTTGGATCCGGCGGACACCCTCAGACCGAAGGGCTACAACTCCGCCAAGAAAAGTATGCCGGGAAATCTCATTATATTTTTCCAGCCGGCTTCCGATAGAATTTTGGTTATTGTCTATTGACTCTATAATTTGGGTAGAAAATATAGTTAAACGTTAATTTTGGATACGAAAAATATAGTTTTTTTTTGCAGTTTTTTCAACGGTCCTGCCTGAAAAAAAAACAAATTTTCCCAGGCTAACGGCTTATATGCTGAAATAGCTTACTACTTCCTGTTTCTGATAAGCGGAAAAAAAAGATAAGTTGTTGCGATATGTTTTTCGCAAAATCCGGTGACGCAAATTCCAGTTTTACCCTTCGTTATGTTGTCGCCTGTAATTATAATGGTTGTAGTATACTAAAAACCAAGTAATGACAACCTTGGGTCAATAAAAATGGCACAAACCTACTCATTTCATATCTTTAATATATGTCTCGGAACTTATTCGCCATCTTAGTCTACTAATTCAACATTTGCTCAACCCATTGAAAAAGTACCGTACGTGATTACACGCTCAATTATGTTCATTCCAAAGAGATTTAGATTATGAATTACATGCCTTAAATTAAACTTATCACAACCTTTTGTAAGGACACGTCAGACGGGGCTGACGTCCCCGCTGTGTGCTGGCCGGTGGGACGTCAGGAAGAACCACGAAAAGTCAGCCAATTCCCGTTCCAAGATTTTATTGGCAAAGTCCACGGCCGGCGGGATGTTGGAAGTGCAACAGTCGGTGGCGGAAAAGCTGGCTGGTCCTAGCGTAAGTCTAGCAGGCTCAAGTCACAGAGGTGTTCGGGCTTCTCAAGTTCTCACCAAGTCTCTGGCTTCTCTCTGGCTTCTCTCTTCAAGGTCTTACCAAAATCTCTAGTCTCCTCGTTTGTGGAGAAGCAACCATTTTTATACTCTCAAAGTTCTGTCCACTCCCATCCCCCCAAATTTGGTAATCTCTGTCAAAGTTGTGTCAAAATCACGTAAGGTACTTCGTCGGGATTGGACGGAGAAGATATGTAAAACGTGTCAAAATTGGATACTTTCACTGGCAGTTTTCGTCTAGACAATGCTCGAACTACCTGTCAAATGATTATTTTCTCATTTTTCGTGAGTGACCCTGGGGTCACGAACTCGGGTTCATGAACTTTGGTCAAAGTAGGGCACCGAAAGCCTTACCCCTCGGATTTCGAGAGGGTTAGCCCACCCGAAACTTTATATCGTAAGGTCCAATGTGCTTGTCAAAGTTTTCTGGACTAGCCCACCCTGTTGTAGGGGAGCGCAACAGGTGCCAGCCTTTCCTTGCCACCGGTTCAGGACTAAGTACAGGGTTACAATCATGTTCCTTCTGCTGTTCCAACATCCACTTGGCCCGTAAGTATAAAAATATAAGTCATACGTACTATCCTGTAAGTTACAATGAGTTTTTCTTCTGTTTCCATTGGTACAACGCTATCCTGGATCCCAGCTTGACAAGAATAACAGGTTGTCCGGCCCAAAGGCCACTATCGTGATCCTTATCTCTATTGACTAATTGAGTCCTTAGACCTTGGTGACCCGATATGTCGGGAGGGTGGCTCGAAGCCGGGATACTGCAGTCCAAACATCTGTCCTGTCCATCACTGGGCAGACAGTCGACAAGGCACTCTTACAATACTGTATACGAACGGGGATCCGGCTAACATTTACATAGTACATATTCAAGAATACGAGAGAAAAGATACATAGTTTGCAAAAGGAATACATATTATGAGTACTGAGAACATATTTAGGCACATAACTCAATTCAAGGTCCGCGTGCACTGTGGGGTATAGTTTATCTAATGACCTAATCCTGTCACCTTATCTAGCGCGTGGGCTAGCGGCCCAAGGGGATAGCCCGGCCGGGGCCTAGGGGCGGAACCGGCCGGTGACGGGTTGCTGCTTAGCAACAGCGTCTTGGGTGACGTATGCCCTTGCTGGTTACTTATTAACCATTTCCTACTCCAGAGGTCGGGGGTCGTGCCCTCAAAACAACAAACTTAGCCTCCCTAGAAGCCTAAGTGTCTGAGAGGCTCTATCCAGACATTGCAGGTCATAGCAGGTTTTGACAGGCTGTAGGGGAGCAGGAGCTGAAGAAGTATAAAGCGGGGGCATGCTTTGTACTGTAGTGCAACAAAGAAAAACTCAGACAAGCTCTGATACCAACTATAAAAGATGACCTGAAAATTCCGGTACTCTGATGCATGTACTATAGTGTACTTTTAAATTACTTTAAATACGTGTACCGAAGTTTGTTTTGTTTACCAACGTTCCAGTCAGGACCATTTGTTCTTGTACATAGGTTGCATGCTATCTTTGTACTGATTAATAACGAAAAAGTTAAGTATTATAATTTTGTCGTAGGATTGATAGACTCGGAAACTCATCAGCTCGAAAGCGTTCAAGAGGATGCAGGTGTTGGTTATAGATGTGGCATGCTTGTTGCTTGATTGATTAATCGATCCATTAGTTAGTTTGTTTACAGAGTGATTAATTTATTTCAGAAACCTCTGAGGCTAAAGGAGGAGTTTATGACTTGTCCAACCGCCAGCGACTGGGTCGTACCGAGGTCGAGTTACTGCAAACACTGGCAGACGGCATCAACTCACTCTATAACACATCGGCACACTTATGAGAAAGAGAATGTGTGTGAGATAAACACAATTGTATTTTCCCATACTTTTGAGACCTGCT